TGTGCAGCTTCTTGTTATGGCCTTACTATTACAGCCAGTATTCCTTATCCTACTCTCAGCACTGTGCTCTTTGGTCTTCTTCCTGTTTGTCACATTTCACTAACATTCTAGAGAGATAGACTGTTGGAACCCACTTTCCAAGCACAATTACAGGTAGTGCATGTGGGTTGGTATTGTTAGATGTATCAGCTACTTTTCTCATTGCTGTGATCCAGTACCTGACACAAAGCAACTCAAGAGAGGAATGGTTTATTTTGGCATACAGTCTGAGGGGATACAACCCATCATGGTGCGGAAGGCCTGGTGGCAGGGATATGAGGTGATTGGTCACATTGGGTCCACAGTCAAGAAATAGAGACTGAACAGGAAGTAGGGTCAGGCTACCAAACTTCAAGTCCCTATCCCCCAACCCCAGGGAATCACTTCCTCCAGCAAGGCTCCACCTCCTAAAGCTTTCACAACTTTCAAAAACACCACCACCAGTTAGGGACAAAGCATTCAAACACACAAGCTTACAGGGAACATTTTACATTCACAACACAACAAAAGAGGTAAACAGTTTTATATTGTAATTAGCAACAAAATTTAAGATAACAGAGTATCTTTTAAAATCAAGTGGAGGGGTTAAGGAGATGGTTCAGTGGATAAGGAAGGGGCTTGCTGTACAAGCATAAGGACCTGAGTTGATCTCTAGGACCCAGGTAAAAACTGGGCTTGGTATGCCAGATATGGTGGTGTGTGCCTTTAATCCCAGCCCTTGGGAGGCAAAGGCAGATGGACCTTTCTGAGATTTAGGCCAGCCTGGTCCACATAGTGACTTCCAGGCAGGCTGGGACTGGGACACCCTGTCAAAAAAAAAAGAAAAAAAAGAAAAAGAAAAAAAGGTAAAGAAGAGAAAGAAAGAAAAAGAAAAGAAAAGAAAGAAAAAAAGCTGCTGTACATCTGTAATCCCGGGTAGGCGAGGCAGGCAGATTCCATGGCCTCACTGGTGAGCCAATTTAAATGAGTCAGTGAGTTCCAGGTTCTGTGAGAGATCCTGTCCTAAACACAAGGTGAAGAATTGACCTCTGGCCTCCACATATGCACATATGAGCCTGCACCCCCTCTCTCCCTACACACACACACACACACACACACACACACACACACACACACTTACTCAGAGGCTACATGGCACTGTTTTTCATTGGTTGCATGGTACTGTTTTTCATGATATTCTGATGAAGTTATGCTGCACTGTAGCATACCATAATACAGTTGGAGCTTAATGTTTTCCCAGTTTACCAACTTTGATATGTCATGTTTCTTGACAATTATTTTTTCCATTCAAAGGGATTTTGCATTGCTTAGAAGTTTTGCAAATAAACTGAAATTTTACTATGAGTGTGACATATATGTGATAGCAGTAGTCTATAATAGGCAGAAAGCCTGAGCACACCCAAGTTCAATGTAAAGGCAGACTGTTGTAGATGACTACAAAGCTGGAATCCAGACTGTTGCTTGTACTGCTTTCTTAATATTTGTAGTCAGATCATCTTCTCATGTCTGCAACCCCTCAGCTTTAGCTGAACCTCTCTCTGAATGACTACTTCTATGTTTGGCCTTCTGAAACCCATTGAAAAATTAATACTCATTATGATATTAACAGTTGGACTATGTGGGACCTTTAGGGGTGATTAAGGAGGCTAAGAGATAGCTCAGTCAGTAAAATGTTTACCATGCCAGCATGAGGACTGAGTTTGATCTCCAGCACTCACATAAACAAAACCAGTTGTGGCAGTGTGCACTTATAATGCCAGCACTGGGAAAATAGAGACAGGAAGTTCTTTGGGGCTTGCTGGCCAGCCAGTGTAGATACCTGAGGTTGATCTCTGGCCTCTACATGGACTAGCGTAGATCCACTTGTAGATCCACACAAACTTGTACACACATGACACACACAAAGAGGTGATTAGGCCTCTATCTTCATGAATGGACAAATTAATGGCTAATGGATTATCTTTCAAATAGATTTGTTATAAAATCCACTTTGACTGGGCATCTTGTCTACTCTTCCATGAAATACCCTACACATTTCCAGACTGTTCCAGCAAGAAGCCCATCACCAGATGCAGCCCTTTGATCTGAACCACAAACTAAGATAAAATTCTTCCTTATAACTTAACTAATTTATTTTGTAGTATTAGTAATAGAAGACAAAGACAACTACCATTAGTTCATTTTATTTCTTAATCTATTATTATGGTTCCCCTTTCCCTAGTCCCCTGACCGCATCCCTAGCTTCATTCTGATGCTTTTCTTACTTCATTTGGAGAAGTCCACTCTTAGCATGAGCAATGGGGCAGAGATGTTCTTCTTGTAGGGTCTAATTTCATCATAGAGTCACTTTCCTCATGGCTTTCCCTCAGCCTAATGGGAAAGGTCCAGCTTGAAAGATCCAGTCCCGGATTTGGGGAATTACAGCTTCAAAGCAAGAATTGAGAGAGGCATTCATTCCTTAACAGTGGGATTTTAAAATGTACAACTTACGAGATTTTTTTGGAAAGTATAAAGTGATTTGCAAATTTAAGATTTTTTTTCAAAATTAATATTGTTAGGGGTTTTATTTTAAAACTGTCATTTCTAAACATTTCCCCAGGGTTCTAGTTACTAAGGGAACAAAAATATTTCTGAGAAATGTTTAGAAGTACAACTTTGGTGCAAATTGAAGTTTGATAAGCCGAATCTTAAATGTACAGATATTGAGGTCTTGTGACAGCTCGTACTCTCCATTGATGCTGGTGCCTCAGCCTTGACTGCACTGCTACTCCTTAAATTGCACATGGTTTCATTCAACAGCATCTCCCACAGTAGAGTAAAGGACTTCAGGAGAGTAGGAAACAGGGCAGGTCAGCTTTGAGGGAAGCAGAAGAGTAGACAGGAGAGGGTTTGTGGAATATTCAGATAAGGAAGTGTTCCTGAAACCCTCCAGCAGATGCATAAGACAGATAGTGGTGTTGGGCAGGCCCATGGTGGGAGGTCATCATCAGAAGGTAGAACAATATTAAGGGGTGAGGAAGTTCTTTTATTCCTTTGCAGTTAATACTACCTCAGTTATCACCAACTGCCTAGATCTGTGCTGGTTGAGTAGTGGGAGATGCTGAATGAATGTTGAATCAATAATTAGGCACGTGCCTGCAAGGCATCACCCTTGCTCGCCTTGTCCCACCCCCACCCCCAGCAGCAAGTCTGCCTCCAATAGTACAAACTCCAGTTCTTCAGTATCTCAGACATCGGAACTCACTGGACAAAGGTTCTAGAGAAACAAAGAAATGTAGAGAACTTGGTATCAGTTGTGGAGAACTTGGTATCAGTTGCCAAGATAAGACAAGTCTTGGGAGTTTGGCTTACCGAAAGATGAATCATTTAGACAGCATGGTTGTCAAAAGATAGTGTGATCTTTGCTGTTTTCATCTCTTTTCACTATTTGAATTGCTTTTATTTCTCCTGAGTGCTTTTCCTTTCCTATCTAGATGGTCAGTTTGCTTTAAAAATAAAACATTACCCAAGTACAATACTGCTCGAAATGACTACAGGTAATGGGAAAAAACTTGAACATGGGCCTTTTATAGCTGCAGCTGTTTTCTATTTTCTTTATTAGCATCTTACAAAGATGGTTTCAGTGGATCCATTATTGCACATTAATTGCCATGACTTGCAAAAAAAATGAATCATATTTTTGTGTATGTGTGTATTATCACTGCTCTGACCTATCTTTTGTTATATTAAAACTACAAAAAGATTGTTTTAAAAGCTGTTTTATGATTTTAATATTTCTAATAAGCTTGTTTCATATACTGTTTGAAAATATGTTTTTTAAAATAGCTTTAACATGTCCCTGAAGTTTATTTCCATGACAACTTAATTATTTGGGCAAAAAACTATCCTTTTAGAGAAGCATAAACTTTCAACTTTGAAGCTGGTTAGTTGAGTTATGGAATGTTCTGGAATGTTCAGTTCTATTACTTCATCAGAGTTGAAAAAGCACAGAATTGCAGCGGTAAAGGGGGCAATGGAATGGCTCTCCTTGACCTTGACCATTGTGAACCCAGTTCACATTTTTGATGACGACTAAAACCCAAAACATGCTAAATGTAATATAAAACTCAAAGCAAATTAGAAAAAAATATCCTCACCAACACCAAATCAAAGAAGTATGATACAGTGTCCTTCTTTCCATTGTCTGATTTTGAGACAGGGTTTCAGTCTGTGGCCCAGGCTAGCCTCAAACTTAAATCCTCTTGCCTCTTCTTCCCAAGTCGTGGGATTACAGGCATGCATCACCACACCTGAACTAGTGTCCTTTCTTTCTTTCTTTTCTGTAAGTCTTGAATGACTTTGAGGGTCTTATAATCTCCAAGGGTATGTACCTGCTCACTGTTGAAAATGGTTGACTGGATTCATCCCCTATTTTGCAGCTAGAAAGGCCAAGGACCAGGGATTTAAGGCATGTTTACAAACTCAGTATATTAGGGGCTAAATTTGGTTAAGAACCCAGACTCCCTTCTGGGAGGATAATAGGTTGCCCCCAACATTGCCCAGTCATATAAGACTACTCACACATACAAGAAGACATAGGTCCATCTTATATCAGATGATGTTGATATTCTGGATGGGTATTTTGACTTTTCCTGGCCACAGCAGAACTAAGGCCACAGTCAGGAGAGGTTTCTTAGAAATAGTGAGTCCATAGATCTTGGTTTGTTTATTTCTTTCCTTTTGTTCTAGACATTTTTGCTGCCGTGACATGGAAACTCTTACTGGGGATTTTGCTTCTGGAGAAGAGATGGAGCAATGTCTAAACTTGGAATTGGATTCATATTTTCAATTCACCTTTGAAATAAAGTTTGTTATTTTAACCCCACTAAGAGCTCTTATTGATGGTTTTCCCTGCATAATTCGGTAGGTTCTCCAGGTTTCTGATTTGTTGTTTATTTGTTTGTTTGTTTGTTGTTTAACAGTGTATCTGGTGGAGAGCTCTTTGATCGAATTGTGGAGAAGGGATTTTACACAGAGAAAGATGCCAGCACTCTGATCCGCCAGGTCCTGGATGCTGTATACTATCTTCACAGAATGGGCATCGTTCACAGGGACCTCAAGGTGAGGCCATTGCTTAGCAGCAACACCCAGTCATCACACAACCCACAATATACCTGCTGGAGAGGATTAGATATGGTGAAGAGTCAGACTGTTGATTAGAGAAGAGTGGAATGAGCTATGGGAAGTTCTATACCTTTTAGCTATCAGTACCTTAAGACCCAGAAGTAGCTTGGAAGAGGATGAGGATCCATGTTCCAGCCACTGTTTGGGAGATGTTTGTCATCATTAAGCATCCCACAAGGCCACAGAGAGGTAGGTATGTATAGATTCAAGATCACCCCAAGATCATTCTGTATAGAGCAGAAAGACCACGGAAACCCTTCACTCCCAGTGTCTTAGAGTCTTGCTTCATGTCCAACCCCTTTTCAACACAACATCCATCCAAAGGAAAGGGAGCTGCAGGGACAGCATGGAATAGAGAAAGAAGAGATGGAAAGTTAGCAGGTCAGTGGGTTTAACGAGCTACAGCTACAGACATCTTCCTGCGCCCTGAAGGTCCCCGTCTCACCTCTCTTTTCCTCTCCTCTTCTCTTTCCCACACTCTCTCTTTCTCCTCCTCCCTCCTTCCCTTCCCTTCCTTATGTTTTATCTAGTTGTTCTTGTTTTTTGAGATAGGATTTCACTATACAGTCTAAGCTGGCTTCAGAACTCACAGCCATGCCTCAGTCTTGAGTAATGGGACTATGTAAACAGTTGTCTTTCTTTGTAATGTATGGGCATAGTAACCCTTCATCCATTGTTGCTGAAGAGTCTGGGCCTTCTTATGGTCACCTTAGTGCCCCATTCCATTCCCCCAAACCAGTTCTAGGTAGATGGACAAAGGCCAGCTGTCACACATGATCTGGAGAAACTGTGAGAAGGAACATCATTGAGCTCAGACTGTGGTGTGGTTTCATGCTTCTCTTTTTTTTGAAATAAAAAAATTTATTGAGAATTTCATACACGCATATAAGGTGTTTTAATCAAATCAACACCCACTCCCTCCCCTCCAACACCTCCCATATCTCCCCATCACTTTTTTCTGACAACTTCATGTATTCTTTATTTATTTATTTTTTTAATGGGGCTTTTTGCTATTCTCACATTCCCCCCCTCAGGAGAGGTAACCCTAAAATATTTTAGGGATTAAATAAACACTCCCAAATACTTTTGACATTTTTGGCCTTTAGAACAGAGTATGTTGCTAAGAGGCCCAAAGACATTTTGACTTTTAGCCAAGAAACTGGCTACTTTTCTTTGGGGTCTTTTTACCCTAACTGCCTAGCCAATTCCTACCTTCTATTCTTATCAAGTGGTTTCATACTTTAACATTATAGGTCCAGGCCTGAGAGCCTGCTGCACCAGTAAAACAGACACAAGGACTGCCCTATAACTATGTTACCCAGCACTGGGGAATCTACATCAATTGAAAAAAATATAAATATTTGTTAAACAAAATTTCAGCATCTTCTCATTATGTGCTACTTCATGTCAAGGAGAAAAATGGTGCATCTTTTTGCAATAGGGAAGTTGCACATATGAACTCAAAGTTGTTGTGGCAGCATGTACAAGACCTGTACAAGCTCAAACCAGATGAAATCCCAGCATGGACAGGCTTGGTGGGCATAGAACCTCATCTCCAGCTGAAGAGCTATTGGCAATTGATAACTGCTGGGAGAGGGAAAGTCAGTTGTCTTTAAGGGTTGTGACCCCTGGTAGGTTGACCACACTCCAGAGGGTGGACCCACACCCAAGAATATTCTGGAAACACAAATTGGACTCAATGGGCTTCTTCAAAAAGAAAGGACACTAAGTTGAAGGGGGTAGGGAGGTGGGAGTAAATCTGAGAGGGGAAGGGGACAGTGTGGATATAATTAAACTATAATTGTATGAAGTAAATTCTCAAAGAATTTCAGCTGGGTGCTTGGTATGGCTCAGTGGTAGAACACTTGCCTAGGATGTGCAAAACCCTAGGTTCCATCCCTACCACCACCAATTTAAAAATGTAATTTAAAAAAGACATACTCTCAAATTTTCTCTTCTCTCCATGTATCATTTTCTCTCTCACACTTTTTCAATTCTGTTTTTCCTTTCCATGGTCCATGTTAAGACCTTTGAGGAATCTCTCTTCAGAGATGCAAAATGTTAGCCTGCACCAGTGTAGGGGCAGGGTGGGTGAGAAAAATCTCTGTCTGCTGGCTCTGCCTAGTGGATTCTGATTCAGGAGTCACAGGAGACACTGATGCCAGTCTGAGAACCCCTCTTAGATAACCATTGGAAAAGGAGATTAGGAATGTCAACAGCCTGCTGTCCTTTTGTGGGCAAATGGGCTGTGAGCCTGATGAGCTAATCTTTAGGGCCCCGAGGCTCTGCAGACTAGAGAGTGGCTAGGTCAGCTGGCTCAGTGCCTCCATGCCAGGCAGTGGACCTTCTCTGCTTTATGTGCAGAGCACTATATGTCAAACTGTACTTCCAGAACACAGCGGATGGCTTGTTGATTAGCAAGTTGGTGTAATGACTTGAGATGTGGTGTCATCTGTCATCTGTCCTATCTAGAAAAATAAGTTTTAAGCACTTAAAATGTATCCAGGAGAAGCAATGTTCACTGCTCCCTTAAGAGGTGGGGTAGCTGGATGGGAGACTGTTTCCCACTCCTGTATAATACTTTTTGACAAGTCTTGCAGCTCTCAGCCTGGGAAGCTTGAAGAACACTAGGCCTTGTGAAGTATATCCCATGATAATCAAAAAAAGAAGGGAGAGGAAGAAGAGGATTTTGACAATCAGACATATCCTTGTGGAAGAACATCATGGCTGTGTTAGGACCCTTATGTAATTTCTTTTCAGAGACCCCAGCAAGTCTGACTGATGTGGATAAAATTGGAGTTTGAATATTAAATTTTCATAAATACCTAAGAAAATTCAGTTCACCTGCTCGATCAAGTGCTTGATGGTAGTGATAAAAGATGAATGCACAGTCTGGAACTCTGTGTCACCCCATGTGCAAACATGCCTCCTCCTTCCAGAAAGGAATTCTTATCTGTCTTGTGACCCCAGGAAGCTACCAGAGACAGCTGGCATTTGTGTTTGGTTTAAAAAAAAAAAAAACAAAAAACAGAGATTGAGACAGGAAGTGCTCAATTTGGACATGGTTCTCAGCCCTGCACTGTTGGTGTCTAGAGATGGGCCACCCTGTATGGGCGGTGGTCCTGGGCCCTGTAGTGTGTTTAGCAACATCCCTGACTTCTGCCCCTAGATTCTAGTACCAACCATCCTTGGAGTTATGGCAACCACAAATATCTATAGGCTTTTCTAAATGTCCCCTGGGGGAAGAGGTCCTAATGGCCCCTGTTGAAAAAACTGGATTTGTTATGTGATTATATGGGGTTATAACATTCCCAGAGTATGTCAATTTAGATCTTTTTAAAGATTGCTGTGTGAATTGCTATCAAGGAAGGAGCCTGATAGTCCAGTTGGGGTGTTAGCCACCAGTTGTCTTGCAGAGGTGCCATAATATGCAGCAAAGTACTTTTTCAGGTGAGTTGAGGCCCTTTGAGGACCTCTTCCTCCCCAGTGGAACTGTGGTACAATATGGCAAGACTCTCCCAGGTCCTCCTGCTGCTCCTGACAGTCTCTCATCCAGATCGTCTCTTAGGTGATCTCTTGGCTGCTCCCTTCCCTGCCCTTTCAACCTGCACTCCCACCCCCAGGAAAAGCTTGACCACCCTTACCCAATCTTGACACAACTCAAAAGTATTGATTTAATAAATGTGAATATCTATTTGCTTTAAACTTCTTCTGAGATGTGTTCAGAAGAACATCTTTATGACCTGAATGAAACTCTTGTGGGAGAAGGTGTAAAGAGGTCCTTGAACCCCTTGGTACCTTCACTGACTCTTGTTCAGCAGTGCAAGGCACTTGCTAACCTCTCCAGCTGCACAAGTTCTAGGACAAGGAAGATTAGAAACCAGAAATTGCAAAATAGAGCCTTCGCTCTAGTCTAGTGACTGAGACTTACTGGTTATCAATGGATAATTCCTAAACCCATGTGTTTTATGATTTGAGTATTTCCTACTATTTCTAAATGTTACTCATGTTTCAACTACTGACTGGTCCATTTCATTTTCACTTCAAAGCACCCTTGAGCAGACACTTGATTTTCCTCAAATCTCATGCTCCATGGTGTCATGGTGACTGTTGACTCCAGTTTCTTTTTATATAACTCTTGTGGGTAAAGGATAGTGTTTTTAATGTTGGGTTCTGTTAAAGAAGAACATTGTTTTGTGACTTATTAAAATGGGAATGAAGCCTTTATTCAAATGTTCAAACTGTTGCAGTAGAGGAGAGAGGTTAAACTCAGCAGGCACAAGTGAGGAGTTAGAGGGGCAGGGGTGAGGTGGGGAAGGGCACAGTATGTGGAAAATCACTCTGAAGGGCTAGATAGATGATTCAGTTGGTAAAGTGCTTTCAGCACTCATATAAAAAAGCCAGGCGTGGCAGTGTATACCTGTAACTCCAGCACTGGGGAGGTAGAAACAAGAGGATCCCTGGAGCTCACTGCCAGCCAGCCTGGCCAGATCCCCTGCTCCCCACCTGGCAAAAAAAAAGACAGAAAGCAATTGAGGAAGATACCTAATGTTGGCCTGTGGCCTCCATATGCATGCATGCACATATGCACACATGCAAAAGTGGCTTCCCTGTCTACCCTTAGTCCCTCCCATATGCCACTAGTGTTGCAGACATAGTGAAGATGGAGGTGGGTATAGAAGTACATGCCTATAATCCTAGCACTCAGGAGGCTGAAGCAGAAGCATCATGAGTTTGAGGCCAGCCTGGCCTCCACAGTAAGTTTCTAGGGCAGCTTCAATCTTTATCAAGACAAAATGAAGTAAATTTTAAAAGGAAAATTGCTGAGAAGATACATCAGGGGTTAGAGGAGTCTGCTAAAATAGCCTAATGGTAGCTAAGGACTTAGCACATTGGTAGAGTCCTTTCCCAATATGTACAAAGCCCTGGTTTGATCCCCAGGCCACAAAATTTTAAATAAAGGCAAAATAAATAAAACCTAACAGGGCTTTTGCTAAAGGCAGGCCAACCCAAGGACTGATACATGGACAAAGATTCTCTTCTTTGACCCAAATTGACTGCAGCTTTTCTGAAAGCTCTTTCTGACCAGGCCCAGGCCTTGGGCTCTGCCCTTTGTCTGGAAACTCTACTTACTTAGTCTGGCTTTAGCTAGAATCACACTGGGAGCTGTAGAGATGACTCAGCACTTAAGATCACTTTCTGCTCTTGCAGAGGGTTTGATTCCAGTATCCACATGGTAGCTAACAAGCTCTTGTAACTCTAGTTCTAGGGGAGCCAATGTCCTCTTCTGGCCTCTGTAGGCAACAGGCATGCATGTGGTGTGCATAAATATATACGTGCAGGTAAAACACTTATACACATAAAATATAAAGAAAGAATCATCCGGAATGGGTTCAACATAAAGTATCCCTGGACATTTAAGCAAAGCCCTTATCTTCCCCTCTTAATATCATGTCATCCTGGCTGTGCCTGGAGCAAAACTTCTGTCAGGTTGGTCTTTCCAGAGTCTATCTTACTTATTTCCTCAGTAATTTTCCATATAGTGATCGCCACCCTGCCCTTGGCTGTAAGTCTCCACGTGACCCTTGCAGTACTGGAGTGGAATCTGCTCTTTCTCCCTGTAAAACTCCATAGTAATAATAGAGTCTTTTAAAAGTGTCTGAATAATTGTTCACTTTAGACAACGTCCAAGGTAGCAGATGAAGAGCTTGGCTAGGTTTCAGAGGTACGCTTTCCCTCTAAAGGGACTTCACTAGTTAAGAGTGGGCTTTGCAGTCCTGGTTGGAGGAAGAGGACATGGGAGGCCAAAGTCAAGGCCTTATTTGAAGAAGACTCAGAGGAGCCTGGCTAAAGTTTGCTTAAGGACAGAGTCTTGGTCATTACTCAGAATTTCTTCACAACAAAGACTCTGTTAGCATCTCCCCACCCCACCCTCACACTCAGAGAGATATGCCTTTACCCTATCTCAGATCTACCAAAGGAAACTATCACGTGCCATTTAAAATCCCCAGGATGATTCTGACATACAACAAAGCCAAGAATCACAGTTTCCTAAACAAGCCTGGTCATGCTACACACAGTACTTACTGAAATTCAATGCTTAAGAACCAAAGATTTGTCACAAAGGCCTGATAATGGAGAATACGGCTTTAACCTAGGACTGGAGAGAACAGCCAGCCTGGAAATGGGGTAGGAAAATGAGCTTGCATGCCCGATTCTCTGCTGTGTTCTATTTCATTTGAGGTTTATTGTAGACAAGAACCTTGAGTACTTACTCAGGAAATTTTCAAAATTGTCCTGGTGTTTGAACATTCCCAAGCAGTCCTGATGGTACCGTCCTCAGAGACAACATCATTAACAAAAGCCACAAAAAGACAAATGGAACTGCAGGGTCCTCTTCCATGTTCATTTCCTCAGCCCCGTGGAACAGGGACAAGCTGGAGACTGGTATCGAAAAGCCCTAAACCAGTCCTTGCTAGGACCAATGGTCATCCACATTTTGGCATAAAATTCTATGCACATGATACTTCCTTGTCTGCCCTAAGTCCCTCCCATATGCCACTAATGCTGCAGAACCAGAGTGAAGACAGACATGGGCAGAGAGGTACATGCCCATAATCCCAGCTCTCAGGAGGCTGAGGTGGGAGGATCATGTCTAGGCCAGCCTGGCCTCCCCAGCAAGTTCCAGCCCATCTCAGACTATATAATAAGACCCTGTATCAAACAAAACAACAAATACAAAAAATAAAAAAACAGGAGCTTAGAACTAGAAAATAGAATAAGCCCTCTGCTTTGTGGTATCACTGTCTGAGCTATGCCCTGTGCTGTTCAGAAGGACAAACAAGAAGCCATTCGACGTGCATGTTGAAAAAAGGCAGTCAGAAGCATGGAGTATTTAAGGACACATGACTAGAAAGTGCTGCTTCTTCCAAGTGGAGTCATTCCTTCCCAGAGCCATTCCTCTGCTTCTCTGAAGGTGAACCTGTTGGTCTCAGCAAGGTGCTAAATGCAACCCATCTGCCAGGACCACAGAATGCCAGAGGATATTGCTAAGAGTCAGAGAGAACCTTGCATTCCTGAAAAGGAACCTGAAAATTAGGGTGATAAAAAGAGGTGGATCACCTCTTCTGGGAATCTCACTCCCCCAGCCAAGTCAGAGAGACATGTGATCACCTCTCCTGGGAATCTCACTCCCCCCAGCCAAGTCAGAGAGACATCAGCTTCTTAGATTGCTCAAAATATGATCATTCTTTTTTTTAGGTAGAGGAAATACTAGCAAAGGGAAAAGATAATACTGAAGACTTCCTAGTGCCAAATACTCTGCAAGGCCCTCCACAACCTGTTTAGTAGGCACTGCTTTAATTGACATCTATTGACATAGACAACTTCTATATCTAACAGTCAAAGCTATTCTTAATTGTGAGTAGATTCTGTAATGTGATGATTAAGCCTAGGGCCTCCTGTATGCTAAGCAAGTACTCTACCACTCAAAACCACAATCCCAGCCCTTTTTTCACTTGTTAGTTAGAGAAATAAAATCTCCCAAGTAGCTTGAATGGCAAGCCTACACCCCAGGCTTGGCTTATAATCTATAAATTGTTTTTGTCTTGTTATTTTTTCTAGCCTGAAAATCTCTTGTACTACAGTCAAGATGAGGAGTCCAAAATAATGATCAGCGACTTTGGCTTGTCAAAGATGGAGGGCAAAGGAGATGTCATGTCCACAGCCTGTGGGACCCCAGGCTATGTTGGTAAGGATAGTGTGTGTGCATGTGTACATATGTGTGTGTCCAGAGGGTGGGATGTCTCCATGGCAACCTCATCTGCCTTCTAGAGCATTAGAGTCGGGCACATACCATGCTGCCTGCGTTTTCTTGGGGGAATAACGATATTGAGAGATACTCAAACAAGTTAGCCATGAAGTGATTTCCCCTGAAACCTTTTAGCAGTTGGGTGGAAATCCTGTTTGAGTTGGTTGTGAGCCCTCCTGGAGTCTAGGAGTGAATTGGGATGAATTCCCATGTTCTAATACCAGAATTATAGTATGTATCTATTTTTGGATGATTTATAGTGAAACACTGAGATTGCAATAAGGTGCAGACTCAATTTAACATGTAAAATATTGAGACAGATACAGCCAGAGAGAAAATATTGCTATGAGAAATATGGATTGAAACCATGATGAAATCTTTCTCTCAAGTCAACTAACCCTGAGATGTGCTTGCAAAGCCAGGGATTATGAGGTTTTTTCTAGAATCATAGCTGCAGATTCTTTGTGTTATACACAAAGGCTACAAAATACACAAAGTGTAGAGAAGGCTACCTACAGCTATGAATAGTTGGTTACTGGGAGTTTCCTTCTGTCTTCTGGAGAAAGACCACAGAAACTGTGTTAGTTAGTTTTCTGTTACTATAACAAACACAAGAATAAGATTATAAAGAGAAAAGGTTAATTTTGCCTCATGATTCTGGAAGTTGGTTCTGTTGCTTTTGAGCTTGTGGCAAAGCAGCAGATCATGGGGACAGCATGTGGCAAAACTGTTCACCTCATGACTGGGACATGAAAAAGAGCAAGAAGTGGCTCGGGTGCTGTCTTAGTTTACTTTCTGTTGTTGTGGTAAACACTGACCAAAACTAACTTGGGGAAGAAAGGGTTTATTTCAGCTTATAGTACAGTCCATTGAGGGAAGCTGGGGCAAGAGATCAAGCATGAAACTGAAGCACAGACCTGGAGGAGTGCTGCTTACTGGCTTGCTCCCCTGGCCTGTGCTCAGCCTGCTTTCTTATACAACACAGGACCACCTGCCCAGGGGTGGCACTGCCCACACTGAGCTGGGCCCTCCCAGATCACTCAACAATCAAGAAAATGTCCCACAGATATGGCCAAAGGCCAATCCAAGAAGCAATTCCTCAATCGAGATTCCCTCTGTCCAGGTGTGTCAAGTTGACAACTGAAGCTGTCTAGCCCAGGTACTAATATTTCCTTCAAGGGCACATCCCCAGTGACCAGAAAACCTTACACTAGGTATCACTTCAGTATTTGGCCATCTCCCAAAAGCACCATGAGCTGTGGACCAAGCCTCTACTACATGGGCCTTTTGGAGAAGACTTAACCAAATAACTGTAGGAACTCTCTATGAACATTTTGAGACCTCTGCTTACATTAACATATTGAATCAGTTATCCCGTGTTCTCGACATTGTTCAGATATTTCGCTTGCCTTCATGGATCTTGCCTAGTAATTTGGAACAATAGACCACAAACAAAGAAACAAATAAATGGACAGGGCCATTTCAGATCCAAATGTTCAGAGGAGAATAAAGTCAGCCATGTGTGATAGATAGTAACCCAAAGAAAAGAGGCCTCAGGACTGTGGGGAGAACTTGAGCATTTGCCTACATGATTGGAAGTGGCCAGCCATGTGCGAGATAGAAAAGAGCAGGCATTCTGGGCAGAGAAATAATCTTCTGTAAAAGCTTAAAGGCAGAGAGAAAAGGCAAGCTAGTATGTCTTAAAGGGAGAGGGACAGTGAGTTTGGAAAATAGAGACTCGCAGATCTGAATTCAGATGCAAACTCTGATGGTTCTTCGTGAGAGCAGTGTGTGCACCAGGCATGGTGGTACACTCCTATATTCCCAGTACTTGGGGGGCTGAAGCAGAAAGGTAGCAAGTTTGAGGCCATTAGAAGGCTATACAGTGAGATCCTTTCTCAGAAAATGAAGAGAAAGAGGAGGAGAAGGAGGAAGAAGTAGAGAAAAGAAGGAAAAAGTTCGTAAGCCCCAAAGAATCAGCTTTACATAACCGACATCATCCCATGCGTCTTTGGGTACAAGGAGAAAAACGTATCAGCAGGCTGAGGAGAACTAATCTCAAACAAAATGGGAGACACCAGAGCACTGTCGGAATTCTCAGTGACTTTGGAAGCATGCTATAGCTTTTCAAGTCCTTGGAAAATTACAGTGCCATGTCAAAACTGATGTGTCACAACCATGTCATTTTCAGAGTCACTCAGAGGGGGAAGCAAAGAGCCAGAGAAGGGAAATAGCAAGTAAAATGAGGGAAGGGAAAGGATCAAGGGATTTAGATGGATGGGCTCCTCAGAGAGGGGATATGGCAGAGAGAAGCTGTGAGGGGATGTCACAGGTGGGGCTCATCTCTCTGGATTGTGACTATGCTCTGACCAATTTCAAGAGGCCCAAGGAGTCTCAAAAGAGAGATATATGGGCCAGCCAGCAGTTATGTGTCCCATGATAGTATTGTGAAGGATAGGTGGGTCTGTGGAAAGCGGTTTGTGGTGTGAGGTGCCTGTAAACACATGTGCACTGGAACAGAAATGTGAGTGGTGTGTGTGTGTGTGTGTGTGCATGTGCGTGTGTGTGAGTGTGTATATGTGCATGCACATGCACAGTCTTTCCTGTGCTGCCTAAGCCATCAGGCAAGTAGCAGATCAAACTGAATGAGACAGGTGTATCCTTGAATGTAGATTCTAGAGACAGAATTCTCTTCTAATCACCATGAATCATAGACATCAGAAAATGAGGCCTGCTAGCTTGTGCTGTTGTCCCCTAGTCATGGAGGCTCTGCTCTTTCCATCAAAGCTCCTCGGTCCCAAGCTGCCTTCTCTAGGCTGAAAAGGTACAAAGATGTGACCCAGTTGTCCCATCTAGGAAGCTGAGACTTCAATGCTCTGACAAAGAATATCTTTATTTGTGCGTTGCACCTGACTTCTCTCATTTCTGACTGTCATGTTGCAAAGCTTTCTACATCCTTCAATTGAAGTTCCCTCTTCCTGAGTGACTCTAGGTTGGGTTGAGTTGGCAATAAAAACTACCCAGGACAGATGAGAAAGAGCTGACCATGCTGTAATTTGGAAGGACCTAAGGCATGTGAGCAGATGAGGGCCAAAAATATGGCAAGAAAAGTCCAGACCACAGACCAAGACTTCAAAATTGGTGTAACAACTTTTTAATTTTTCTTCAGTATAGTAGGTGGCAATGGGACTTCTGAGATGAGGGAGGACATGATCTGATTTCTGACAGGATCCCTCTAGGATGTACTCTAGGATCAGCATTGGTAGCATAGGGAGTGCTAGGGTGGAAAAAGAGACCAGTCAAAATACTCTGACATCGACAAGTGAGAAATCACAAGGTTTGGCCCTGGTCAGCAGCCACAAAGATGGCGAGAAGACGCCTGATTCCAAATTCATTTCCAGGGCAACATTGTCAGAATTTTCTAAGGTTGCTAGTAAGTTAGAGAGAAAAATAGATAATAAGAGAGAAAAATAGAAAAGCCAGAGATAACAGCAAGGTTTCTAGAAAGAAGGGCACGGTTCTTTGTTATCAAGCTTAAAGAGTCAATGGAGCCAGTCGGATGTAGAAGTTTGCCTGTGGGAAGTTTGGTTTGGCTTTGGTAAAGTTTGCTGGGCCATAACATTCTGGCCAAAGCATTTTCATCCTTCATCCACCAGTCTGTGTGTGTGTGTGTGTGTGTGTGTGTGCATGCGTGTGTGTTCTGTAAAGACATCTCATTTTACATACATATAAATACATATATAAGACACAGCAGACTCTTCTGGCTTGGAGAGAAATATGTTGCAAATAATCTCTTGCTGATAACTGAAAGGATGACAGGTCCATCTGGTAGAAGTGAGCTGCTCAGAGGAACATGGTGGCTAACAGTGTGATACAGACCTGGATGTGGAATCCACTTAATTGAGTCAAGTGTTCTGTTCTCTTTGATGTCACCAAGAGGCAAAAGTCAAAGCTAGCAAATTTAGTCAATTACATCGCCTGCTCTTTGGTGTTAATTAAAATACCTTCATATTATGCCTTCTCCAAAGATTCCATGACCTGAGGGAAAACAGTCTCTTTTCATTGTTGATTCATAATTACAGAGTTCATTTAAATTCAGGTGATGATGATAATGATTTTTAAAATTTTATTTTATGTGTATAAGTGTGTTGCATCTGTGTTGTGCAATGTCCACAGGGTTCAGAAGTCAGATCCCCTGGAACTGGAGTTACAAGACAGTTGTTAGCCGCTGTGTGGGTGCTAACCTGAGTCTTCTTCAAGAACTGTCAGTGCTCTTAACCACTGAACCATCTCTCCACTCCAATGATGATGATTGTAAATAGCATGGTTCATAATGTGAAAACATTTCTATGTGCAAAAGACTGAACTAAATGAGCCCTCTGGAGTTGCTGAATAGCAATAGTGAGTGATAGAGATCGTCCATTTCAGTCATGTAACTGGTAAGAGATAAGGGGCAACAAATATACTCCTAATACTCCTATTTGATAGAGGAGAGCCCAGGGATGTTTTTGTTTGGTTGGTTCTTTTTTCTTTTTTGTTTAATTTTTAAAAAATGATACTGCAGTGATATAATTGTTCAGATTCTGTAACCAGAATTAAGTCCCCTAGTTTCAGCAGTAAAAATAAACTTTAAGAGAACTTCAAATCTTTGCCTACATATCAAGGTATCTTGGGAGCAGGGGCCATATCGCTCTTCTTACAGGGTTATTTCAGGGTCCCATGTTACTATAGAAATGGAGAGGAGACTGGTAGTGATAACCTCACTTCAGCTGCTGTGGTTTTGATTAAAGTGAGAGGTTTTATGGTTGAGTCTTTTTGAGGTATGAGTCATTACTAGGCACAATTTTATTCCCAGGACACAGCTACTATTTCCTGATTGGTTAAGACTTGAAATTGGGAAGGATTGTTGGCACCTGGACCCATTGTTCTATTTTTTTTTC